TTTTAAGTAAAATAGATCAAAAACAATTTCGTCTTCAAATTTTAATTTCGGGTTTTTGAACCCGAAATAATTTCGTCAACATGTATATATGCACCTTTTGAGTACCTATTTAAGTAGTCCACCCAAAGGTTCTACACTATCTGCCATATCTGCATCCCAACTAGGGATACCAATTTAAACTCTTTATCCACAAGGTAAATCTAACAGAGTAGTCTATGTCTCATACATGTTTTTACCTGCATGTTTAGTAATTTCTTCTTAACTACAGTAGTACCTGTTGTGCTGCTATCACTGAGTTTATATCTCAAGCCAATCTTTGGGGTGCTGCTGCAACCTGATCCATATCTCAAGCCACAACCTTCCTAATTATGTACTCCTTGCCCTTGTAAGGTTTACAACAACCCCAGTATCTGCATTTGGAACCATCTTCTTACCCAGATTCTTTATTGGTCCTTCTTTTACATCCAGCTGACAACCCAGATGAATCAGTTTGCCCAGGCTTTAGGTGTCTGAATGACACCCTTTCCTTGGTTCATACTTTTGGAGCGTATGCTTTTTTCCTCTGGTGCGACAACCCAGTGGTTCAGCTAGTGTGTCCTTCACCATTAGGACCTGGTCGCTTGGTTCTCTGATCTTGGGCCCTGGCTCGAATTCAGCCCTTTTGTGGTATTATTATATATCATTGCTATATCCCAACTCAGGACTTGCCAAATAGGTTTTTGGTTATTCCAGTCCCCTGGATTTATTGTGCTGAAGCTTCTATTACTAAATGGTGTGACCAAGGTTACAGATTAATCTAGGTCCAACCAATAGAAAGCTATCAACCGTACACAGGCCTAATTTTCAAAATCGTTACCAGTGGGATTCGAACTCTAGACTTGCTGCTTGAAGAGGGTGATGACTAGACCACTACAATAAGTCGCCACATCTCAAATTGAATAAATAATTTAAAACATGAGTATTAAATTTTTATTTATTTATTCTTAAAGTGATTTCATGGTACTTTCAATAGATGAAGTAATATTTACTACAATATATGAAGAAATAACATCTTCAACAAATAAAGCATCATCTGTTATAGTACATGAAGGAATTAATCAACTTCATGAATATCTAATAGAGAATGGATATACAATTACAGCCTTTGAGTATAATAAGTATTGGGCAGTTAATGAGTATTTGGTATTGTTAGAAGATGGACATAAAAAGGAAATAGCAAGCCAGGAGGCTGCATATAAAATCTATATCACACCAAAACCATATACTGCTAAAAGGATTTGTTTTCTAGCCAAATGTTATTTATAACATGAATTGTTTTCATTTTCATGCCGCAATAAACACCAAAAATACAAACAACTTGTTGACGATAAAGATATTGCAATGCAATATAAATGTTTGGATACAACAAAATTCTGGGGTGAATAGTGTTGATTTATCCAAATTTCAAGAATACATTAACAATATTATTCTTTCAAGATATACAGGAGGAACAAAAAAAGCAATCTCTTTGCGAACAGCTAAAAGGTAGTTGAACATCTTGGGGCTCCAATTCAAGATATACCAAAAAGGCATATACCTTGATGGATATAAACGAGATGATGTAGTTGCATATCAAAAAAAATTTTTAGAGAAAATGAAAAGCCTAGAATGTTGGATAGCGAGATATGATTTAAATGAATAAGACCTTTGCTAACAAAGCAACCTTTTGGGACTATAGTTCTAAAGGTCACTTTGTTAGCAAAAATTCAAAATAAATATGTTTAAGTTAGCTCAAAATAAAATTAAAAATAAACCTTTTTTATCACTCTTAGGTATAAAGGAGAAACAATGGAAAAAATTCTGCTAGTGCTTAAACCAGGTGAACAAAAATTAATCCTTGTAATACATAATAAAAGTATTTTTTATTCGAATAACAGAAAAAGAGACATTTGGGTGCCAAATAGAAATATGCTGTTGCGAAAGAAGGGGAATGAGAGGTTCATTATAGTAAGTGAATTTCTTTTAGAAGAATAAGAATATATTTGAATATTTCTATGGAAGCACATTGCTATCTATTGTCTGGTAAAAACCAAGAAGGTTTTTGGACAATTAATAATTTACTAGAGCAAGTCAAAAATAAAGCAATTCCTATCTTTGAAGTGAAATTTCCAAATACAATAGCTGTCTTTGTATTTGACAATAGTACAAACCATGCAGCATATGCAGAAGATGCTCTTATCGCTGCAAGAATGAATTTAAAACCTGAGAAGCCAACCAATATTGTGACAAATATTTTTTGTTGGGGCAAATGAACAATAGAAAACCCAGTATATGATATTTGAGAAAAACTATGTGTTCAAGAAAGACAAAGGCCATGATGAAACTATACAAAAAAAGCCAAAAGGTATTAGAGTAGTGTTAAAAGAGAGAGGGCTTTGGAAGGATAGGTTGTTTTTAGAATGTAAGAGTAAGGAATTTTCAGAAAATACTTTGTAAGTAGACTGTTGTACTAGAAAGATAATAGCTTCTTAATCCAATTTTATTACACAAAAGTCTGCCATCATAAAATTAATAGAGAGTGCTAGTTATTTTTGTATTTTCTACCCGAAGTTTCATTGTGAACTCAACTTCATTAAAATGTATTAGAAAGCTGCCAAGAACTATATAAGAAAGCACTGTGATTATACTTGGGCTGGTTTGCAAAAAACAGTTCCACAAGCACTTGATTCGGTTGATATTATTATAATCAGAAGATTTGTACAAAATTTATGGAGATATATAGAATTGTATTGTGAAGAGCTAACAGGAAAGTTAGCAGAATATGCTTGCAAGAAATTTAAGTTGCATAGGTGGATACCGTAAAATGAGCTGGCTTTGTTTATGCAAGAAAATAGTGAAAATGACAATAAAGGTTATAATTAGAAGAATGTTATTATTGTAAAAAGAAATCACAACAAATAATCATTCAATAATAAATATTAATAATATTTTTTTTTATAATAATTAGGATCAAAATGATCTTATCTAGTTCATTTTAACGTGCCTATTCAAGTCTCTAATCGGGTTAATTTGGTCTTAGTCTTTTAGCGAATAGATTTTAAAATTTAAAATTTTAAGAGTTGTCTTTTTTTTAAATTTTTAAATTTTAAGAGTTATTTCTTTTTCTTTAAATTTTAAATTCTTTTAAAATTTTAATTTTTTAAAGCTTAATTGATGATCCGCCAGTCACCTGGTGTTTGATTATAGTGTAATGTAATGCAGATCACTATGTAAATTAAATAAGCAGGAAATATGAAGATTTTTTAACAATTATTTAAAGAAAACTTTTTTTTTATTTTGTTAAGAACTAATAACAATATATAATACTAACATTACAATCCCTAATAAGGTGTGGCGACTTAGTGTAGTGGTCTAGTCATCACTCTCTCCAAGTAGCAGGTCTAGAGTTCAAATCTCATAGACAATAAATTTTGAAAAATAGCCTATGCTACAGTTTACAGTTGTTAATTATCGGTTAGATCTAGAAATCTGTAATCTCGGTTACACCATCTAGTTATAGGAGCTTTAGTGCAATAAATCTGAGAAACTGGAATAACTAAAAACCCATTTGGCAAGTTCTGAATTTGGACATAGCAGTGATCTTTGACAGTATCACAGGAGGGCTAAATTCGAACTAGAGCCCGAGATTGGAGAACTGAGCAACCAGGTCCTCTAGCAGAGGACACACCAGCCAAACCACTGGGTTGTTTCACTGGAGGAAAAGGGCATATGCTTCAAAAGTATGAACCAAGAGGAGGGCATCCTTCAGGCACCTAAAGCCTGGACAGACCGACCCTTCCGAGTTGCCAGCTAAAAGTAAAGGAGAGACTGATAAAGAATTCAGGTAAGGAGACAGTCTGAATATGGATATTAGGGTTGTTGTGAACCGAATAAGGGCAAGAAGTATGTAATAGGCGTTTAGTTAGGAAGGTTGGTGCTTGAGGTACATCCGTAGAATGGCAGCACCTCAAAAGATGGCATGAGAGAAAGGCAGACCAATATGTACTAATTAGGAAGAAGTTATAAGAACATGCAGGTGAATACATGTGTGAAACATGTACTGCTCTGTTAAGTTTACTTCGAGAATAGATTAGCCAGAAATAGTTAATAAGTTCTAAGGCAGTCAGTAATCCTTTGTCAGGGTAATACCAAAATTTATATATAAATAGTAAGGAAGCCCAGGATTAGGTAGTTAACTGGTAGTAGTTATAACCAGATAGTTTAAATAGATACCCCCCTAGTTGGGGTGCAGGTATAGCAGATAGTGTAGAACCTTCAGATAGACTACTTAAATTAGGCACTTAAAAGATGCACATGTGGCTTGATTTATCATTGTTGTAATTGCATATAAAACACTATTTCAAATCCTAATAAAAGCTTTCAGGCCAAAGAGGTCTTTTTAACATTAAAAAAAAAAAAAAAACTAATATTACGATCCCAAAAAAGCTTGTAATTTTATAGGTTCCCTTAGCAGTATTGGTAAGAATACCAGAGATACCAAACTTGTGATAATAAGTTGTTTTTGGTAACTCTTTAATTACTTGTGGCTTTATTTCTTCCTTTTTCTGTATAGGAACTATGGTAAGTAACTGTTCACATATCCTTTTATCTTCATAATCGATCTCTTGCTCATCATACTTTTCATTGTATTCTTCTTCCTATCGAGTTCACTATTCTCTTCCAAAACTTGCATCTTAACTTTTTTTTCTTTCTCAAACTCCCTTTCAAACCTTCTTTCTTTTTTTCTCCTTTCTTTGGCTAGCTCCATTCTTCATTTATTGTATTCTTTAAGTTTACTATACTTTTGCTTTCTTTTCACTATATTTAATTAAGACACTTGATTAAACTATAACAAGTGTATTTTGTTTGCGGGTTCTGGTTGTACATACGTATATACATTCTTGACACAAAATATATTCATATATAGGTTTTTAGTAGAGCAATACACAATTAGGTTTTGTATATATTGATCACTAGGGCCACACAAACTATTCTTACGTATGTGGAGCTATATACAATTAAGTTTACTTAGAATATGCGCAAGCACAATTTTTTATGTTGAAGAACTTTTTTTTCCTTTATTAATATTTAGCATGATAATCTAACATGTGATTTACCCACTAATCTGACCAATTAAATTGTTAAATACAGTTGCAAATTTGTTCTATTTTTGACTGATTTATATAAAAACTGCATGTATTTACAGCTATATAACTTTAAATCATATAATGATTTTAAAAAAGTAAAGCTAACAAACTATAATATACTGGTTTAGCTACAAATTGATAGCTTTTTTTTTCTGAACTGTTTCTAGATCAAAAGTTATAAGTTTTTAAAATTTGGGTAGTCTTTAAATATCATGCACTGTATAATAATAACATAACTCTTAACTTATATATGTATAGCCAAATTTGACAAATTTTTTGTTTAATTTGAATTCTATAAATTCATAATAAAAAATTTGCTATAAGCTTATATTAAAATAGTAATTTTCAGCTAAACTCTCTTGGTGTTTTGTTATTTTTTATTTTAACTAGATTGTTTTGGTATTTTTAAACTTTTTATTATAGTAGTTTAACTTTCTTAGTCCAACCAGGTTATTTTGGTTTAATATATTAACCAGATTATTTTGTTAATTTTGATTAGTTTGGCATGTTAAATCATGTCCAATTTAATTATTTTAATTGGTCATTTTATATGTTGAATAGGTCAATTCATATATTTAGATTACTTTAAATGTTTAATTTGTTTATCTTATTTTGATTTGCTTGGGCACATTCTGGTATGTTAAGTTAGGCTCAAATTTCTTATTATAGCAGGTTACTCAGAATGCTGAACTATTTTTAACTTGCTTATCTAGTAGGGCTGCACTTTTTTTTTATTAGATCCAATTCTTTATTCTGATCAAGTTATTTCAGTCAGTTTTTTTTTTATAGTCTTTTTTCTATAATCTTTTTTTCTATAGTGGATTTACATATTCTATTAAGTAGATAATTTGATATATTGATTTAAATTTAACTTTGCTTATTTTTTATTTTTTATTTTTTTTTTTAATCTTTGACAGTCTTGCTAGTGCTTAATTTATTGCAACTATATTTAGGTGAGAGCTAAGCTCTTTTAAACAATACATATATCATTCATAACTACAAACAGGAAGTTACTGCGATAGCAAGCCTGACATTATCCAGCTGCGATAAACGTGCCCATATATAACTTGTCATACCAACTTGTATACAAGTTAGATAAACTTTGTCAGCCCATCAAAGCTTTCCTTTTCATATTACCTTTCTTTATCAAGAGCAAAAGAAAGTAATAATCTCATACAAGACTACCAATATTACCAAGAAAACAAAACAAAAACCTAACTAAAAAAAACAATAGAACGAAAGGTATTTTTAAAGGAAGAA